GGGGGAGCCTCAGCCTGCCGCAGGCAGAGGCTGCTTCGCAGCAGCCTTCCCTATACCCTCCCACTGCGTCTGATAGAGGCAACTGGAGGGGCAGGGGGCACCGCAGAGCCTTTTAAGCCTGCTCCCCCCAGCACCAGCTCCTGTTTCCTCCTCCCCCCTTGCTGTCTCTAATAGAGACAGCAGAGGGGGAGGAGTAGTCGATATTCTAGTTGACTACCCGATAAACTTATGCTTATTGGGTAGTCGACTAGTTGCTGCGGACTAGCAAACAGCGGCTGTGAGTTGCTTCCTGCTGTGGGGCTGAGCCCAGCCCTGGCTTTCCAAACTCCAGTCCAAAGCAGCTGGGTCCTAGCGAGCAACCTGCCATACTGCAGCCCCTACCCCTGGGGGCCCTCCTGCCCCTGGGCTCGAGCAGTGTCCTCCACATCAAGGCAGCATCATGCAGAGAAGCCAACGCAGAGGTAGGTGCAGGGAGAACAATCTCGGAAAGAGGAGAAGGGGGGTTTCTGGGCAGACCGGGCCTTGTTCTAGAGTCCCGCTGAGCCAATTACCAAAGCATGGCAATGGCCTAGCAGAGTGCCCTGGCCTGGCAGCCAGTGGTTTGCAGCCCAGCACCAATCCGAGAATTGGCAGTTTTGAAGTGCTGCTCTAGTGCCTGCTAGAACATTTAGAGAAATGTCTGCAAGAAGATACAGCAGCTTGGCAATTGCTGTCAGTTGGGTAACATTCTAGGAGACCATGAATCTTTGGAAAGAGAGCTGATTATTGCAATTTACATGAAATGCTGTAATATTTTTTGTAACTGGCAGAAAATACCATGAGGAAGAAGAGAGAAGATTAGGGCCAAGCGAAAAGCTTGAGCATTCCCAAGCTGCAGCTCAGGGCTGCTTCTAGGCCAGTGGTTCCCAACCTTTTTTGTGCCACGGACTAGCAAACCCATTCACAACCTCTTGGTGAACCAGTAACATTTTATTTGCATATCTGAATATTCGTTAAGCACTGCAGTAGAGGATCCTCTTTATAAAATGTTTACACCTTTTTATTTGACTGATTATTTATGCTAATCACAATATAAATCCAGAGCTTGGTAATGCTGTCATACGATCATCTTATTCCTGGTATGATATGATTAAATATTTGTATTGTAATTCGGTTATTATGACTCCTTGCATATTGTGCATTTTAAACCTAAGAAACAGAACTATCCATCAGAAGTAGGCCCTTGTTAAAGGACTTTTCTTTTCTTTTTTTTTGATCTGTAAATGTCATTACCTCCCTTATTGCTACTCATCTATCTTAATTTTTTCTTGTGTTCATGAGGCATAGATCGGTTGGCAAAGGCTTTCCCAGCTGACCGATCCTTATTTAGACTGCCGCGCTGTGCCGGATCAGTTGATCATCGGCACAGCGTGGTGCCCATGTTTATTTTAATGAAGCGGGATTATTTAAATCCCCGCTTCTTTGACTATGCCGGGTAAACTAGTTTACATGGCTCTGTCGATGGAGCCATGTAGTCTAGACATACCCGTAATGTCTAACTTGATCCTACCCTCTTCTCTCACTTCTTTTGCATATATGACTTTACAAACAATACTGTACGACTCATTTTATTGAGAATGCAATATTTACTAGACACCTGCCAGTCAGTGAATTTATTCCTCTAGCTACAGGTCAAAAAAAAGAAAAGGACTTGCCAGTGAGAACCAGGGATTATACGCTATCAAGAAGTCTAGCTTCCCCATCCCTATCTCTTCCCAGCTGGGTTTCCTATCAGGATCCTGTTCCTGGATCATGCTATGACTCTCCAACTTCCATATCTGCTCTGGACATTAGGGGTGCGTCTACAGTGCACCCTTAGCTCGAAATAAGCTAAGCAATTTGTGCTATGAAAATTACGTGTCTTATTTTAAGTTAATCTTGAAATAGCTTATTTCATAATTTAGTGCTGTCTTCACAGTGCCAAATTTCAAAATAAACCACTATTCTGAAATGTCCCTTAATCCTTGTGGAATGAGGTTTGCAGGGACGTCAGAATAGCGAGCCCATTATATTTCAAAGTAACGAGCTTGTTCAAAAGACGTGGAATAGCTATTTCAGAATAGTGAAAGTATCCCAAAATAGCGCCGCAATGTAGACGTACTCTAGGTGTCCCATAAACCTGAAGCGCTTCCTGTTCCTACTTCAGATTGTTGCAAGTGGGTTTTTCTTTCTCCTCCTTGTTTATTCCAGGACCCTTCTTCCTACTGATATACCAAAAAACCTGACAAATCAATAGAAGCCTCTTTCCTCCTCCCCCAATAAGCATATACAGCCAAATACTGCACAATATCATACCCTTCCATCCCCATCTTTCTTAATATTCATTCAAAAACTATGCACAAAAATTCTGCAACTCCTAGAGATACAGTGCTCTTTAGCAGACTGACCTTTGCTAGTTCACTATGTAAGTGATCCTTAGATTTAAGTTTTGTGGGATGTGAAAAATGTCTGCAGACTACAGATAAAATGGGTATAACTTGTTTTTAAAACAATTTCCTCAAAAAGCTTTTCCACAAAATATCATGGCCCAATTTTGTGAAGTGTGTCTCTACACATGAATAAGATTATTTTGGCTTAATGCACTGAATCAGAATAAATTCCATTTTATTATGCTTTAAGAAACTTGACATCCAGGAAAATGACACAAAAATACATTTGAGACCAGCACACTCACTTTATTGTGGTTGAAAAATGTTATTTCTGAGTGTGTCATTAATCAAATCAATTGTAATTAGCGCACAGCTGGAATAACAGCCATCTTCTCTGAAACTCCTGCCTCTTCTACTCTATCTTTTCAGTAGCATGACAAAACATTTTTCTCCCTTATTTATGTCTCTTAATTTCTTTCTTCTTCTATTCTTTTTATTTTATTTGATAAAAGAACTACAGGTGGACCCAGCTGGTTCCCCACCCTCAGGACCTGACCAGTCCCAAAGGAGGAAGTTTGCCAGGCCAAGGGAGATCAGCCCCTCTGCTGACATAGTCCAGGCTCCTTCGGGATCTGTCAGCAAATCTCACTGGGCTCTCAGCTCTCTGGCCAGCCCTTGAGCTGCTGGGGCTCCACTGCCTCAGGGCCGCCATACTCAGCTGCCCCGGGGCAGCGGGGGCTCTGCCAGGACTCAGCTGCTCTGGGTGTGCTAGAGGTCCATGGCCAGCCACAGGGATGCCGGTATTCCACAGACCCAAGGCTACCCCTGGATGCCAGCACTCTGTTGCCCCAGTCCAGGGCTCTCTGGTCCAGCAACTTCCATGGTCCTGCTGGACCACGGATGTTGCCAGACCAAAGAGTCCTGGACCAGAGAGGTTCAACCTGTACTTGGTTCAGTGAAGTGTGGTATATGTGTATGAATGTCATCATACAAAATAAGGTTGTTTTGTGCTGAATCCAGTGAGAAGATACAGCACATGCAGCATTGGAATCCGCTTCTTCATGCTGCTCTACCAATGTACTTCACTCCTGAGACAGATGTTGAGAGAGTGAACTCCATCTCCGGGACCTATTGGCGTGCTTGGTGTTTCTCTTGAAATGGTTAATTGGGATGGTGATTTCTGTGACATGGATCCTTGTCCTCTAGTAAGTGAGAATCAATGATCAGTGCCATACAGACCACTCTGTTTTAAATTTCTTTCTATCCCTTGCAGTGTGGACCCAGTGATTTGCAGACCAAAGCTGACCGATTGGTACAAATGAGCATTTGCTCTTCACTGGCACGGAAATTCCCCCGAGTGACAATCATAGGAGAAGAGGTGAGAACACATGTTCTCTTTAATTTTTGTCTTCCCTCCCATTTCCCTTTCCCTTAGCGTTAGCCTCCTCAGGTGACCTGCACCAAATCCAGTGATAGGAAGGCAAATCCCACTCCCACTCTGGCAACAAGGCCAAGTTAACCTGAGATAAAGGCAAAGGCTGGCATGTGGCTAAGCCCTGGGGAATGGCTGTATCATTTTTCTCTGCTGTATTTCCAATGTTAGGGATGGAAACATATTTTGGAGCTGCGAAGTGCTCTCTGGAACACAGTGCTCTCTGGCTGTTGCCTGTTTTTGTTAGTGTCTTTGTGTCCTTTTGTCAGGACCTGCCCTCTCAGGATGTCGATGAGGAGTTGATTGAGGATGGTCAGTGTGAGGAAATACTGAAGAAAGCTTTTCCACCACAATACAATTCCATTAAAGAGGAAGAGGTAATAGAAATGTTACGCTTACTCTCTTGTATCCCTTTATAGCTTTTTAATCTTATCTAAGAAATAGCCATGAAATTTTGATGATGAAATTTTGATGCTGTCAGCTTGTTTTGGTTTAAGTAAAAATACTTGTTTTTTAAAATTAAAGATGCCAAAGTGACAGCCCTAAAAATGGAAGCCCTCTAATTATCTACAGAATGGATGTGGTTTGGGCAGCAGAATTGCAGGTTTCTCGGTAATGTTCCATGAATGTGTCTCAGAGGGACCACCTAGAGTAATGGGAGGACACTTTAGTTTTCATGCTCACTGAATTTTTGTATGCAGTGCCATTGTAGCCAGGTTGGTTTCAGGATATTGCAGAGGCAAGGTGGGCAAGATAATATCTTTTATTAGACAACTTCTCTGGGGGACAAGTTTCAAGTTTACACAAAGGTCTCATTCAATCCTTGGTATTGCTACTAAAATTACAAGCAATACTGCTAATTGATGCATGTTGTAGTATGCTGCTGATAGGTTTTTAATGTGGACATCTTTCCATACAAAATGGACTGAGCTCACCAAATCCACTTTACATAGCCTGTGAAATAGCTGGTGAAAAGTTTAACATCACTTTACAAATCGCCTGATCTGTCCTGCCCTATATATAATAAATATTTATGAACATTCACGTCATTCTTTTTGTTCTTTAAGTGAAAGATTTCATAACAATTCTGAGATTTTTACTCCTCAGTGCTTCTAACTAGCATAATTATACCAATAGTTTAATTTCTGCGGTCTGTTTCTCCTCTTGTGTTATGTGCTTTTTTTTTTTTCCTGCTTGTAGCTTGTTGTCTGGGTTGATCCTCTGGATGGGACCAAAGAATACACAGAAGGTTTGTTTGTCTTTTGCTTATTTGTACTGATTTGAAAAATTATTTCAGTTTAATAAAAATAACATGAAAATTTCTAGAACATTCTAGAAGCTTATCAAGCTGTGCAGAATCCATCAGAATAGATAATGTTGACTGTTGGCAAGAAGTCTGGAGAACCACTGAACTAGAAAAGAATGGGTAGCAAAGTCATTGAGAGAGGTCCGTCTCACATCAGAATTTTTTGGCTAGGTGGGGCATGTAAGATGGATCAAAATGTATGTATTACAAGTGAGGAATAGGCAGGATTTCTAAAAAAAAAAAATTAGAAATAAAATGTCTGTTAGCTTTGTTGGGCAAAGAAGGATTTGTCACTAAATGGTTTCCCTAGCACTGTCTTTGGGGTTCTCATGGCCACATAAACAATTTGAGATCTGTTCTCCTTGCTCATGACATTTCCAGAAATCCTCACTGGAATTATGCCATTTGTTCTATATTTTCTACCAAATGCTCTGTAGGTGTTACAGACTCTGGTGTGCAGAGCCAAGTAAAGTAGAGTTACTAGAAAGTTTTCACCTAACGTCACTTTAGTCTCTGAAACGGTCTTCCTTAATAGGAAGTTTGTATAAGATTTTTAAATAGTTGTTAGGACTCCTGTAATCCCATTTCATAACCTGTATAGGATTTTATTCATGTCAGGATACACTTTAAATACTGAGTGGCTTCCACTACCGTTGACTTCCATGGGAGTTGAAGGTTATTCGACATTTCATAGGATTAGACCTTTGGGTTTTTTTTCTTTCTTTTTTTTTTTCCTTTTATGTATGCTTGTTTGGGATTTGTCTTAATGGCTTTCAGTAATAGCAATCTTTTAATATCCGGTACATTCTCTCTCTCTAGTTTTTATTTGCCAAGGGGAGGATCAATAAACTAGAGATGGGAAAGATCTAAATTTCTTTGATCCCACAATATTTGTGTTCCTATCTTTCAAAATACATGCATGTTACTACTGTATTTACAGCATTATTTAAAAACCACATAATTACTTCTGTCATGGAAGTAAACTTATTTTTGTTGACTATTGGGGTCCAATCCTACAAGCATTTATTAGGCTTACCTGAAAAAATCTGTAAAGCTACAGCAGACAGCTCAATGGTTTGAGCATTGGCCTGGTACAACCAGGGTTGTGAGTTCAATCCTCAAGGCAGCCATTTAGGGATCTGGGGCAAGTTTGTCAGGGATGGTACTTGGTCCTGCCGCAAGGGCAGGGGACTAGACTTGATGACTTCTCAAGGTCCCTTCGAGTTCTATGACACTATACTATTATCCTCCTGTTCCAGCTTCTTGAACTATTTGGGATAGGAAATTTGTTTTGTATTGTTTTTTAATTGTGGGTCAGGATAACACCTGGCACAATGAACAGTACTGCTTACTATATGTTGCCATTAGGCTCCCAGGCTCTCTGGTCCAGGACCATCTGTGGTCTTACCAGACCACAGATGTTGTCAGACCAGAGAGTGCTGGTTTTCAGAGGTGCAACCTGTACCAAATACTTGCCAATTCAGCACAGTGGTTTATGTTGGTGTCATTTAAATAAGTATTATGTAGTGATATAATTTTTTTTCTGACCAGAAACTTCTTTATATTAAATATGCTCATTCACTCAAATTGTCAACAGTGATTAGTGATTTTTGGATGCCTTACGTTTTGGACATCCAATCTGACACAACATAACAGGGTCTTATTATTCAGAGATACTCAGAGTGTGAAATTGTCTCAAGCTGGGCAACTAAAAATTAGGCATCCACAGTATCTAGTCACTTCTGATAATCTTGGCTATTATTAACATTTTCAAGTATTTGAACAAAGATAGAGGATTGTGGGTTTGCATGAGGTCTGGGGGTTTTATGGTGGGGGAAGGGGTTTCGTACTCTCATTTTCAAGCATAACAACATTTATTACTTCTTCACAGGTCTCCTTGATCATGTAACAGTCCTTATTGGAATTGCTTATGAAGGTAAAGCAATAGCAGGAGTTATTAACCAGCCCTTCTACAATTATGAGGTAATCAGTGTATTGATTTTGCTTGAGAACACTAAATGATCTGCAACTGTCACTTCGAAGATATGTTTCTAGTTCACATACTTTCTGCTTAGCCATCCCACTGGTTTCAGATGGGTGTGTACACAGCACTGTTCAGCTATGCCTCCACTCCCACTCCCGATTCTGTTGCAGCAGTGCTCCTATTTATACTCCTAGTAGCTCAATGAGAGCTATTGTGACTATGTGTACTTGATCTGGGGAACCACACCCCTAATGTATAGTATAGACTTAACCATAGTTAGTGACAACTGAGTTACAGTGTTACAGAACCCAGTCCCAGACTTCCCATTCCCCAAAATGGGGCACCACACCCTGCAGACAGTTCCCCTGGAAGGGAATTAAGAGTATTAATCGTAACACGAGAACTGCAAAATTCAGGAAGACTCCAAGGTCTTAGACTGGGAGCTGATTAGGATTGAGCATAGCGAAGAAAAGGTCATACATAGTTGGTATAGTACAGTGATTCTCAAACTTTTTTTTTTATAAAGTACACCTTTTAAAAAAAATTATAAGTACCCCCAATACTTACAGTTTTCAGACACACACACATTTTTTCTACCATTGCAGCACATTTGTTTAAATAACTTAATCATAGCTGGGAGGCTGATGAAATTTTTGGGTGTAAAAAGTACAAAAATAATAAAGCGCTGTAAATAGGGTTGCCAGAATGGTTTAACAAAAAAATACCAAAACCCGCCCCCGCACTGCCCAAAAAAAAAAACAAATCGGGAAAAAATTCTGTTGGGGGGAGGGGGGAGAAAGGCGGGGAGAGACCAAAGTTGTTAAGCAAAAAAACCAAAAAAAGACACTGTGCTTTTAAATGGCCCCGTGCTCCTCACTCCCCCGCCCCCGCCAGACACAGCAGGGGAAAATTGTCCCTGTTGGACTTCCGTCCGAGGGAAACAGAAAATACCAGCCATTTCACACGTCCTGTATTTTCTGGTTTTTTTTACCAGGACCTGAATAACGGACAGTCCGGGCGAAAACTGGACAGCTGGCAACCCTAGCTGTAAAACTTAAAACAAAGATTCAGTTTTCTCCAAATTTCAGTTGTGTTGACATTTACTCCCCGGCCCCAGTCTTCTCTTGAGTACCCCTATGGGTACTCGTACCACTGGTTGAGAAATACTGGAATAGTACACTGAAATGATGATGAAAGTACTTTTCAGTTCTATAATATCTGATGCAAGGATTTCAAAGAGATTTTACTGACATTAACTCATTATTACAAAACCCTTTGAGGTAGGTAAGGAAAAATTATTCCCCGTTTCACAGATGGGGAAACTAAAGCACAGAGAATTACCCAAGCTAAATAACTTTCCTAAGGTGACACAGCATGTTATTCAGTTAGCTGGAAGTAGAATCCAGGAATCCTTACTCCTTACCCTATGCTTCAGTTACGAAGAACTCCCTTCTTTTCCGTTGCCACAATTTACACTCTTACTTAATCCCAGGTAAACAGTGGGACGGGATTCTGTAAAAAGCAAAAAAAGGATCCAATATTGAAATAAAATGTCTTCAGCTATTCCATTGGGTTCATATATTAAAAAAAATAAGTATTATATGCTGTGGTAACTGTAAGCCAGGGGTTCCCAACCTGGGGTACGTGTTCCCAACCAGGGGTTCCCAGGGAGTACGAGAAGCTTGTCAAGGGGGTACGGGGAATATTTGGTAAATAACTAGATTATCCTACTTGAAATATTCCAAAAGTAGTAGTGTTAGTGAAAAAAGTTGTTGATTATAGAGTCTAGAATTTATTTCCTTTTATATTGAATGGGGGTATGGGGGTACTAAAAGCCAAGGGGCTACGGGGACTGAAAAAGGTTGGGAACCCCTGCTGTAAGCCTTGGATTTTGCACCTTTTGTGTAGGCTGGAGCAGATGCCGTGCTGGGTAGGACAATCTGGGGTGTCCTAGGCTTGGGTGCCTTTGGATTTCAGCTGAAAGAAGTGCCAGCTGGGAAACATATCATCACTACTACCCGTTCACACAGCAGTAAGCTGGTAAATGACTGCATTAGTGCAATGCACCCTGATAGTGTGGTAAGAGTTGGAGGTGCAGGAAATAAGGTATGACAATCCATTATATTTCTTTTACTTGTGATATGATATGACACCTTTGTAAAGAGAACAAAGAATTTGGAGACAAATGCCATCCTTACCTCTATGGGGACGAAGGGACCCCTGGCAATAGGGATGTTAAGTTGCGAGTACTGTAATTGACTATTTGATTAGTCGATAGGGCGCCTATCCCTTTAAAGGCGAAAGCGCTGCATGGAGCCTGGGGGTCAGCTGGGGACTTCACTGCTGACCCTGAGTTCTGTGTGGCGCTGCTACTTTGAAATGCCACGGGGAGCCCAGACTCAGGCTCCACACGGCATTTCAAAGCGACAGCACCACACAAAGTCCAGGGTCAGCAGGGGAGTCTCCAGCTGACTCCTGGGCGCCACGCGGTGCTGCCGCTTTGAAACGCTGTGTGCAGCCTGGGGACACCCCAGCTGGTCCCAGGCTTTATGCAGCATTTCAAAGCAGCAGCGTGGTGTGGAGCCCAAGGTCTGGCCCGAGGCTTCATGCAGTGCTGCTGCTTTGAAGTACCCCCTATTACTCCCCACCTTTCTGCCTCATTCTGATAGTGACTAGGCAATTAACCTATTGACTATCCGATAAGCATTTTTGCTTATTGGATAGTCGACTAGTCCTTCACATCCTCTTTCTGGTGAGGATATACGCGTGTATGCAGTGCTAAACTGACCCCGTCCTACTCCCATTGAGCCTGTGTTCTATCTTTTGTGTGCCTGGGTCATGTGAAATGAATGTCATTCTTCATATGTAATAGATCATTCAACTTATAGAAGGCAAGGCTTCAGCTTATGTGTTTGCTAGTCCTGGGTGCAAGAAGTGGGATACATGTGCTCCTGAGGCTGTTTTACATGCTGTGGGAGGTGAGTTAACAATGATATTCATAACTCTTTCTTGAGAGAAGCTGAAATAACAGTAGATTTTTCTAATGTCTGTGTGCAAATGGTAGGTAGTGATATCTTTTCATAGGACCAATGTGCCATTATGCACATTTTGGGCAGATAACTTCTTGGTCTACAAGCATGTGTATAGATATTAAAAAAACAAAACAAAACATGCATTGTTAAACACTGAAGGCCTGATCCAAAGCCCTTTGAAATCAGTGGAATGACTCAGATTGACTACAGTGGACTTCGGCTCAAGCCCTGGATTTGCCTGTAGAAGGCATTATAATCTGTCTTGTCTGCTTTTATTTAAAAAACTCTTCTTTTTAAAACATATCAGTTTTACTTCTACTATATTCCAGCCAACAGCTTCCTCTGCTGCTTTATTGTTTTCCTGTATAATAAGGTCTTCTCCCAGTTATTCATGTATTGTCTATATATGTTTACTGTGTGTATGGAGAGCATCTTACAATTCTTCAAAAACAACAGAACAATTGGCCAAATCCTGAAGGATTTGGCTCTACATTTGAATCAGTCCAGAGGGTAACCCAGTGAAATCACTACCCACCAAATAGCACAAAGCCACTCTGCCTTAGTGAAAATATAATTTATAAAAAAGCTAAATGGAATAAATATACATTAACTTTAGATCACTGTTGTTCAACCTTTTCTGTTTTCCATCTTAATGTGTAAGAGGTTTCTACTAGCCCTTAAGATCAAGTATAATATTGATTTAATACAATCTCCTGAGATTGTATCTTGCCATTGTAAGTATAAAAGACTTGATCTTTTACATCTGGAACAACTATGATTCAAAAAGGAAAAGGTGTTCTATTTCAGTAGAATTCAATGCTTTGCTTAAATCCGTGGTCCCCAACACGGTGCCCGCCAGGTGCTCAGGGCTGGTCTGGCCTCGGGCACATGGCGCGCGGCGCTTGGCGGGGGGAGCGCCGGCCCCGGGCGCGCGGCGTTTGGCGGAGATGAGCATTATTATGGGGTTCTGGATGTGAAAAAGTTGTTCGGAGCGAAAAATTATTGTGAGTTTTGCCACACAGTGTACAGTCATGACCACTCTTGCAGGTATTGTTGCCGCCTCTGCTTGAGCGGAACGTGCTCAGACAGCGTGGGCGTGCCGCTGCGGTGTCCTAGCTGTAGACTATTTTGT